TTGAAGTTGTTCGTCGAAATGCAGGAACCTGACAGGACTTTTAAAAGAACATTTTACGGAATATGTCTAAATGCAATTGTTGTTGATGGTTTTCACACATTTTAATTCCAGTCAGTATACTATTCATCGGAAAAGTCGTGACAATTTCCTTGAGAAAAATGTTTGACGTCACCAAAATCATTACGTTTTTCTCATCCTTTATCTTATATTAAAATAGTAATAGCAAAATATCTTACGCGTTGACCCTATATTTTTATTGCATAAATATTTTCTTTCATGACTTCACTACATGATAAAAAAAATATAGCAAAATTCACCGTGTTGATTTTTTGTTATTTTACAATCTTTATTGCGATATCGCGCGATATTTGTATTATAAATGGACGTCAGAATGTAGAGAAAAATGACGTAGAATCGCAGAGTATTAAGCAAATGTTAAAGAAAGACATTATTTCAAAGACATACATTTACTGAACATTATAAAATTAAAACGAAGGAAATCGGATGAAAATTAATAAGAACAGACCGGTTTATTGATAAAAAATACGCAATTTCGCCGCCATCGATAGAGGGCGCTTTGACGTCATAGTAACGCTGTTTATTTGTAAAATAATGCTGCAGAAGTAAAGCTTACATATCTATATTTATGTATACCAAATATTATCAAGATCTGAGATATTGTCAAATTTCGGTCGGAAAGTAGCGAGCTACCTGAAATTTGACAATATCTCAGATCTTGATGATTTTTGGTATACATAAATATAGATATGTAAGCTTTGCGTCTTTTTTATCAATAAACCGGTCTGTTCTTATTAATTTTCATCCGATTTCCTTCGTTTTCATTTTATAATGTTCAGTAAATGTATGTCTTTGAAAAAATGTCATTATTTAACATTTGCATAATACTCTGCGATTCTACGTTATTTAAACCCACGTTCTGACGTCCATTTATGATACAAATATCGCGCGATATCGCAATAAAGATTGTAAAATAACAAAAAATCAACACGGTGAATTTTGCTATAATTTTTTTAACATGTAGTGAAGTCATGAAAGAAAATATTTATGCAATAAAAATATAGGGTCAACGCGTAAGATATTTTGCTATCACTATTTTAATATAAGATAAAGGATGAGTAAAACGTAATGATTTTGGTGACGTCAAATATTTTTCTCAAGGAAATTGTCACGACTTTTCCGATGAATAGTATACTGACTGGAATTAAAATGTGTGAAAACCATCAACAACAATAGTCTTTAGACATGTTCCGTAAAATGTTCTTTTAAAAGTCCTGTCAGGTGCCCGCATTTCGATGAACAACTTCAATTATATACATGTACAACAAATCAGGGTATGACTGTCTGCAAAAGTTTGTATCAATCTCTAAAAAACTGCAACGAATGGTTATAAATACCTCGAGGACTGAAAAACAATTCATAATATTGAAAGATATAATTAAAAGGCCACCTAAGTGGAAATAATACAAACATAAATTTTGCAAAGAATGTCAGAAAAAAAGAATGAAAAGGCTGGTGCAGTCGCGGTGTCATCATGTTATGTGTATCTCGGTACTACATAAACTTCCATGTTATCATACGTATGTAACAATTTCGAATTGTATATATCAGTTAGTAGGAATGAATCAAATTTACGTTTTAAAAATGTAAGATCAACTCGAATTAAGTAACAACGATTTGTACGTAAGTCATGATTCACTGGTAGTCTTAATTATATAAATCTAGCAGACATTTATTTTAAAACTTTTCTACTCGTATACAAATTTATTTGAGCCGCGTCACGACAAAACCAACAAAGTGCGTTTGCGACCAGCATGGATCCAGACCAGTCTGCGCATCCGCGCAGTCTGATCAGGATCCATTCTGTTCCCTATCAGTTTCTCTACTTGTTAAAATGTTTAAAAGCGAACAGTATGGATCCTGATCAGACTTCGCGGATGCACAGGCTGATCTGGATCCATGCTGGTCGCAAACCCATTATGTTGGTTTTGTCGTGACACGGCTCATTTATTAACAGCAATCAGTTATTCTATTTTCTATCGCAGCTAAATACTAGTAAATAATATCCCTGCACTAAGCGTGAGACTCAGATTTAAAGGAGGAATCACGTTCTCATGCTATGGCTTGATTTTCTCACGCATTTCACATAATTACAGATATTCTTATTTATTTAAAACTCGGTGACTCGCGGTATGCGTTTACTAGCGCATCATTGAGGCGACCTGAAGCCGCGATCATTTCTCGATTCGAGGCGAAATATCCGTTGACTTATTTTGTATGTTCATAAGAGGATAATTTTGCATATTAAAATTAATACAGATTCCCTTGTATAGAAGACGATCATGTAGGATCCTCAATTTGTGTGAATATGGTTTTCGGAGAAGTTCGTTTTTATCTGCACATAATACAGTGCTATGTAGAGCCTATGATAATAATGAACTATAACGTCAACATAATACATTATTCGTATTCAGTGGTAACAAAAGTTGCACAAGGTATTTAATAATTATATTTTGTATTTAATTAAAATATACAGTAGAAATGCCCTTTGTTGCCTAGAGCGGTTGCTCTACAGAGGTAAAATGTAGTGGAGCCCTTTAGAAATAAATAATATTTTGAGGGCCGCTTTGTTATACTGTAATGAAAAAGCGGTAAGTAGGTATACGTAAATCCGAGTTCCAAAAAGTTTTATAGTTTGTCATTTTCTAATTATGACATTTCAATTAGATTATAATTATATAATCTATGTATTGCACATACTTAAAAATGGTAAGCACAAATAAATGTTTTTGTTTCTTGTACAGTTTGTTTTTAAATATTCTTAACATGTTTTAATATTATTTCTGAATTTAAGTAATAGAAAGAGCACCGAAACACGAGGCTATCTGATTTGTACGAGGGGGCATAGCCCCCCGAGTATTAATCAGATTGCCGAGTGTTTTGGTGTTCTTTCTCTTTTGTATCATAGTCAAACATAAAAGCACGTTCCTTGTTGTCACAAAATGAAACCCCGGCAAAAATGAACCAATAAACGAACATCTGAATATGACATTTCTGTCGCTTTCCCTTTCTCTGCCGTCATAATATGTAACCCCCAGCAAAAATGAGCCAATCAATGGGCATGCTCTGGAGTGCGGGTAACTAATACCCGCACTCCAGTTAACGCACTGTGGATGTGTATGTATACGATTTAACCCTGACACATTTTTAACAGAAAGGTCTCCAAACTATGATACAATTTATCACTTATTTCACATTTGTAGGCATATCTATTTTAATACATTTTTACGATGTGTTTTAACACCCAGGCTCGTCTGCCTGTATTTGATTTTATGAAAGTGTTTAAAAGCTGAATGTAACGTAATATAAATATTCTAACGGTTATAAGCTAAGCGACCTAATATTCTTACTTCATTCATACAGCAATATGTGAATCTTATTGTTTTTGCGCTGAAACTAGTTAATTCATATAATAATATAAAACTTTTCACTCTTTCATTACAAACATCAAAATATAAAATTAAAATTAAAAGATGTATGAGACTGCGTCCTGCAAATTAGAAATGTATTTAAGATTAAACATTGTAAATTTGCTGATCTAGCGCATGCTTTCAATGAGAAAATAATCAACAATTTAAAAAATATACATTTCATCAAGTTCCTGTTTTGTTTATACTTACAATCGTAATGTTTGACGTAAGAAAATTGTTATTTGGTATTATTCTTTGAACTCCAACGTCTATTAACGCCACAAAAACCATTACGTTACATTCCCTTTATTTTATTTTAAAACAGTAATAGCAAAATATCTTACGCGTTGACCCTATATTTTTATTGCATAAATATTTTCCTTCACTTTCTCACGACACGCTCGAAAAATTATAGCAAAGTTAACCGTGTTGAATTTTTGTTATTACACAATCTTTATTGCGATATCGCGCGGTATTTGCATCAGATATGGACGTCAGAATGTAGAGAAAAATGACGTAGAATCGCAGACTATTAAGCAAATGTTAAAGAAAGATATCATTACAAAGACATACATTTACTGAACACTATAAAATTAAAACGAAGGAAATCGGATGCAAATTGATAAGAACAGATTGGTTTTCTGAGAAAAAGACGCAATTTCTCCGCAACCGATAGAGGGCGCTTTGACGTCATAGTAACGCTGTTTTTTTTTATAAAATAATACTGCAGAAGTAAAGCTCACATATCTATATGTTTGCATACAAAAAATCATCAAGATCTGAGATGTTGTCAAATTTCAGTCGGAAAGTAGCGAGCTACCTTAAGCAATGTATGAAGTAAAAGAAGCACTGTAAACATGTTAACAAATAGGTCTTGCGATATCCTTGAATTCAAGTCGACCTTCAGTAAATGTCAACGTTATAATGTCAAGCAGATCTTTAACGCCATCGATCACTCCATGTTGTTTTTTAAGCTAATGGTTTAGATTTGTTTAAAGACGATGACACGGGCAGCAAATGCACACCCTCAGATTAGTATCAATGCTTTAATATGTTTGGTCTATCAATACTATTTATATTGTCTTTAAATAATGTTATTTATTGTTTTACTTCAATTAATGGTGATAATCGTAGCCCAGACATTATATTTATGTTTACAGTTTTTTTCAACGACTGTAGGACAGTCCTCTTTTTAAATGAAGTTTTCATTTTATTGTAGCCTGACAATTCAATCACGGAAACCCTAGTTTTGTTTAAATATCAAAATTATTTAAATATTTGTTAATTTTGTATGTTTTATAAATCTAAATCTTTTATAAAAGAATAGCTTGCATAATTTTAATATGCAACCACAAACTTTAAGAAAAGTATCAAAAATTTACTTTTTAGCCTAGAATGTCCTTTCGCGTTTCTTAAATCAAGTAGTTTGTAAGGCAATGAATCTTTCTGTAAATGCATGCATTTTAATAGAAATACTTTAATACGTTGTTACCAGTAATGAAACATGTTGGATTATAGATTGAAAAGAAAGACTTTGTAATAAAGTACCAATCTGAAGAAAGTAAAAAAATCATAGCCAGGGTGTTAGAGGCGAAAATTGTTGCAGAGAAACTACATACAAGTATTTATGATGACGATCAAAAGCGCACGAGTAAACGTTTACAAGATATGCTTGAAGATATTGGAGGTTTCGGGGTATGTTTCTGAACTATTATGCAAAGTGGTGGTTTTATGTGATATGTTTTTGTAGCAACAATTGTCTTAACTGGACAATAATTATGTGTGATCATTTATTCTGAATCATAACTATGGATATCTTATTCTGAAGCTTAAGGATACACAATTTAATGCAGTGTTATTTAAAAATGTTTTCGACCTTTCTTTATTCTTTAGAAGTCCCAAGTATTTATATAATTTAATCACTTGGTACTGCGATATCTAGCCTGTTCATGTTAATACGAATTCCGATATCTCATTTTTTCAAAATAGTTGTATTTTTATATACGTGTGCGTCTTACATTAGTTACGATGTTACAATTAAGTGCTATACTTAAACTATATATTTAAAACACTACTGTTTGTTTCTTATAAACATCGGATTCAATGTTGCTTGTAGCTCTTGACATACTTAAACATAAACTTTCTTAAAACGTCTAGTAATTGTTACGTAGAAAAACATTGGAAATAAATATTTTGGAAAATTGTATGTTAGGCAATTTTAACTACTCTGTAATTATAGTGTATTGTTATTTCGTAATATAGGTGACAGTTAACGAAGGATTGGAATATAAGCCAGCTGAATACAAGTCAGTTGTTAAGAAAACAATTGAACAGAAAAGTTTAACGATAGAACAGGATCAAGCAGAGTGTGATGAAAAAAGCGACGACTATAAAGAATTGGAAGCCCTTAAGCAAAATACAGAACAAACTCTTCAAGAAGTTGAAGTATGTAATGCTATTATAATTATCCTGTTTAAGTATGTATTGATATTTTACGTTTTTTTCTTATTTTACATATTTTTAACCCATGGTTATTCGGATGATGTCTTGGCTAAGATAATGAAATAGAAATCGTAGTTTATATCATTAATCAGTTTAAGGATCAATATTGAAGTGCGTTTATCTATGGTACAAAATATATATAATAAAATTAATTACAGGTCGACAGCAATTCTATTGTAGTTACACAGCTCCACATAAAATACACACTAAAGACGTAATAAAGCATAGCTTATATTTAAAGAAGATTTTTTTTTGGATTGAAATATTTATTATTTATTAAAAAAAACAGCTATCCTGTATATTTCTATAACATACTTACACATGTCCATACAGTTTTTTATGTTATAGAAAGTAATAAATAGACCGGAGCCTGAAGAAATGATTGACAAAATTGACAGTTTGAACAAAGAACTGGAAAGTAAAAAATCAGAGGTAAGAAGTCCTAATGTATGTAGAAAAGCGATCAACCAATAATTTCATGCACGATTGTTGTGAAGATAGGCAATCTATTTTATACTGTATTACTTAACCGTGCGCGTACATAAAATGTCATGAAGAATTCAACATTTATAGACTGTAAGAAAAAATAGAGTAAAATGTTCTTTACCATCTATTGAATTTCCCATTCACTTTATTCTATCAATATATTGATCAGATTATTCGGAATCGATAATTAAAGTATATCTTATTTTCAAGATCCAGGAATGTAATGTTCATCTTTTTTTCTTTTCGTTTTTTTTTACTTTCTAAATTTTTGTAAAATGTCATCAATATAACATAATAAATAATAATAATTTTGCTTTTTGACATAACTCAAGTTTCCTTTTCAGTTTTATTCAATATTTGTAACTGCAATTATTGTTACATTTTTAATAATTAAGAACATGATTGTATAATATATACATATAATATAATTACATTTTGCCTAACACCATTAGAAATGGGAATACATAAGGTTTTATCGGAATCTTATATGTGTGAACAATTGATATATTCACAACCCAATATATTTCTCAGAATACACTTGAAATCATAAAACATTTAATAAAAATAAATATTGTTAAACGGGGTTGCTTGACAATATTTACGCTGTATATTGATACATGTATTGATCTATAAAATACGGCTACATTGTATTTACAAAAGGAATAGTTTTTAAATTAACAAAAATGGGTTTTAGACAAACAATAATAGAAATGTTTTTATTTTTCAACAGGAAATTCGGTTAAAGAAAGAGTCAGCTAAAACAATAGAAAATCTCCAAAATAAAGTGAAATCATTGGAAAAAGAAAAGAAAGTTACTGTAATAGAAAATAAGGTAAGGAACTCAAATGCTTAAAGTTGGTTTGATCGTTTCGAGAAAAATCATTCAAAGTATCCAAGTTTTCAATAATCGTTTTTATTCATTTCATTTATTATCACAGTTAAAAAACTAATTGTATTTTGTACAGTTTGTAGATACATCTTAGAAACATAATGTCGGTAGCATGAATGAAAGAAAGAATGAGAGTTGTTGTAATGGTTTTACTGTGACGAATTGTGAAATCGATAATAAAAAATCGAAAAATATATTTGTATAACAACTATGGTAATTGTATAATCAGGAATGTTTCAACACATTGGGGGCATGATTGATATAAAAATAACTATGTACTAGTTGCACAGAATATTGATTTAGAACAGTTTAACTCTTTGTTTTTAAGGATAAAATACGAATAATAGTATTGTATTTATTTTGTTTTTTTACATCAGGTTCAACAATATAAAAACGAAAATGAAAGTCTGAAAGAATACACAAGCCTACATGAAGAAACTTGTAATATGTTTTACTTTTTCCAAACATTGAAATATATGTCTTGATTTTAGTTCTGTTGAGCTTTAAAAGAAACTTACATTTCTGTTTTTTAAAGAACAATTTCTTGCACTAGTTTTCACTAATATTATCTAAATAACAAGCTAGAACAATTATCTATAAATGTCTTAATACTGAAGAATTAAGCTTAGAAGATTGAAACAATACTACGAGGAAAAAAGTCTAAGATAACAACATAATGAGTGACTATATTTTTCATTCTTCAAACTGAAAAAAGATGCTATACCCCTTGCGGATGCATCGTGCTGCAAATGATTTGTTCGAATAAGATATAACAAGCATTATCATGCAATAAATTCCTTCTGAATTAATTTTTAAGTTCAAAATTCTATGCAAGAATTCATCACATTTGCTAGTCATTATGTGGTTTTGATTTTGAATAAACTTGTATAACATTTCAAATCTCATCCGTTACATGATGTGTACATCAAGGTGATGACCATCCGTTTCAACAAAAGATTGATACTATAGCAGACGACGTTGCAAATGAAAGAGGTGGAGACGTTTCACATCAAAGTCAGACTAAAGTTAGTATCAGTATCAGTTTAAAGTATGTTTGAATGATTATTATCTAAGAGTATAATTATATAGCAATAATTAAATAATTAAAGTGACATCATGCACATTTTTTCATTGTCATTTAGTACACATTTAAACAGATTGAATGTTATAATGATGTAATGGTGAACGTGATGGATGTTTACAAAAATTTCCTTTGACCAAGTGGTTGTCTGTTGTTAGTGCGAAGTAAATGATTAAGTTGAAAGGAATGATGGCAAAACACAAAATTATTTATAATTTTACCTGTTCATTCATTATATAACCGTGGATCAACATAATGCCACTTAAAGTATTAATTTGGTTTATATTTAAAAAAAAATAAGGAAACTAATTTAAATTATCTCAAAATGAATTTTATAATGAAAAAAGATATTGAAATACTTATCAAAAAGATAATGAGGAGTTTGACAAAGGAAACTGTTAAGTATTATTTCTTATTTGATATATTTAATGTAATTTAATAAGGAATTCAATATAGTTTTACTAGGTTTTCAAAAATAAAATATCATTAAGTGTTCTATACTTATTCTGTTTTTATACACCAGGTCCACAAAAATAAAAAGGATGATGAAACTCTGGAAGAAAACACAAGCATGCATGAAGAAAGTTGTAATATGTTTTACGTTTATCAATCAATAAATTATATTTATTAATTAAAGTTCTGTTTAGCTTTAAATAAAACTTACATTTCTATTTTAATGAACAATTTCTAAGAAAAGCTTACAATAAAAATATCTGTAAACAAGTCAGAAAAACATCTATAATTGTCTTAAAACTGAAGAATTAAACTTAGAAGATTGAAACCATACTACCAGGAAAAGTTTGATGAGTGATTATATTATGCATTCTTCAAAATGAAAAAAAGATCTAATGACAAATATTGCTTTCCACTTCAAAAATCTATTTTATCTAGTCATTCTGTGGTAGTTATTTTGAATATAACGTAATAAGTAAAACATTTCAAATCTAATTTGTTTACATGATTTGTATGTTGTACATCAAGGTGATGAACTTCAGTTTCAACGCAAGATCGATACTATGACAGACGAAATTGCGAATGAAAAAGATGGAAACATTTTACATCAGAGTCAGACTAGTGTATGTATCATTGACTAAAGAATGTTTGAATGGTTGTTATAATATCGTGTAATAAATAATAAAAAATAATTAAAGCTCTAAAGTGACATAATGCTCGTTTTCATTGTCAAGTTGAGCTGAATTGACTACATATTAAAAAAGGTTGACTATTAAAATGGTGATTGGCGAAAAGAATATTGTTTACAATAAAGTATAAATCTGTCGTTCATATAAAAAGACTTCCCAATTCTTTTTATAATTCTTTATAATCTTATATTAATTTTACAAACTGTCACTTTTATTAGGATCATTTCTTGATTTGAAATATTAAATGTAAAAAACTGTTATAATGTTTATACATAAACTCATACCAAACGTTAATTTTTCTTTTTTAATTTAATTAATTGAAGGCGTTTTCTCTGTGCAAAGAATAAACATCGTTTTGATTACATTCAATATGTTGATGCGAACGTGTTATATATGTACTGAAAAACAAGGAAAATAAGCCATTTAAACATTGTAATCCCTAAAATCATTAAAGACTAGTATATTACTTATGTCTTACATTGTATTTATTTATGTTTACAGAGCAAATATGTAGAGGATGATATTCAACAATATATAAACGGATACCCTGTAAGTGTTTTACTGTATATACTGTTTGATTTGTTTTGTTGGGAAACACTTCGATTACAGTTTATTGATAGATGATATGATCTAAACCTTAACCTGCTGTGTCCGAAAGTGATTTGTCTCGCCAAAGTATAGTCAGGCCAGCCGGCACAATTCATGTATTCTTAGAACGCTCGTTTTGGTTGATTACACAAATGTTGTCATTTGTTATCTAAATCCCTTAACTGTGAATAGACGGTTTCATATTCAAAGCAAAACAAATCCATTACAAAAAATTCAGCAGGTTATCTAAATAAACTAAAGTTGACTCATTTTTAAACTATTAACATTATATCAACTGTTTATATTAAGGGTAATTTATTATAAAGACTCATTCATCTTGAAATTTTGTGTTGCTTTTATTTGAAAGATTTGAAACTAATAATATTTTAGTTTATCACCTTTCTACCACATGTTTGCCACTAAATATGTTTAATTAAGTTTTATATTTTTAATTTGTTAGCAAGACAAGTGTGACTTTGAATTGATATCATGTAAATGTTTTTCAGGATCAAGAGGACGATCCTATGCGGAACGAAAATTACAATTTTTTCATGGACGAGATTCCTTCACGACCTAATGGTATTCCTTTCTTGACATTTGTTGTCAAGAACACTATCATTTTCAGGAATATTTCACTTAAAAATAAGCAATAATAGGTCCTCTACAAATGGTAAAAATAGTGTTACAGAAGTATTTTGTAATGATTTGGAATAGCGTATAATGACGACAATGTAGAAACTACAAGCAATTATACTTAGTGCTGTTTATTGCCTTGAATAGCAGTCTTTAGTCTTGTTGTTGTTGTTTTCAGGCGCGTTATTTTTAAACATTAAATTTATACAAATTTATTTTAGCTTGATTGAATGTGGTCAGCATACCTTAGATAACTAATCCGGCACGTTATCCACTCGGCCACACCGCCAACATTTAAACATTTATATCAGTTTCTGTTGACTCCGTATCGGGTTTTATTTATTTTAAAACAACTTAATATTTACTACCCTTTTCAAAAGCAAAACATTTCTTTCATTGATGTTATGTCTACTATAATTTCAATTGAAACAAAATCAATTTAGTTTTATGATCTTTGTAACATGAGTTAAAGTGGAGAAACTTGCATGTTTTATATCTAATGGCATCGGCTTAAGTTGTAAAAAATGTTACAAAATGGGCAAATAAAGGATTCAAATCGATAATCATGAAGGACAAGACAAATATAACAACGGGCCGGCACATATGCTTTTGTTTGTATAACAATTTGTAACGGGGAGCTACACCGAGAACAGTAACAAAAAATAAAAAGAACACTATTTCAAAGTCGTGTTGTATTGAGTCTGTTTTTATCTTACAGGTGATTGTATTGATACTATTCATAACGAATGGTGGGGTGATTATAAAAGATTAGAGGAAAATAAAAAATATATGCAGTGGTAAGTCAGACATTAAAACGCGTTATTATCAAACATGACTTAGTTTTACTCACAGAACATGCATCCTTATTTTTTTCTAAATATTCTACAGAAAAGTTTTGAAACGTTTAATAATTCGCCTATATATTCGACCTTTATACCTATATTTCAATTCGGATCTTTATTCTTTTACACGACGTATGAATTATAACTTAGGTCACACAAAATTTATATATTGTTCATTGAGATAATACATACAACTGATACTTTTATTAAATTTTCTAATTCATTTTTTATAATTGATCAGAAACATTTTTTTTAAATATTAACGTATTTTAATAGGTTGTTTCCAGTGAGAGCAAAGAGTTGTAATAGAGAAGCACAGGAATTATTTCCTCATGAAATACAGGTATACAATGTAGTTTTGTAATTATTTATATTTGAAAAAAAAAATGTTTTCCCATAATTATAAGTTACCCTAAACAAAGTTTTTTTTTAACATTGATTCAATTTTTGGGAATATATATCACGTATTCCTATTCGTGATTAATCATTAATACAAACATATATCCTAAGAGTATTATCCTCGCTAATTGATCTCAGAACATTGATATGAAAGTAAAAAGAATTATTTGATATTGTCCTTGATTTATATTGTACATTGGCATTAAGATTTTAATAACGTGCAAAACAGTACAATAATGGAATGCTTTATTAAAAGTTCGTTGAGTTATACTATGTAATTAATGACTATCTTCTATCGAAATAAATCACCAAGAATTAATATATAAGAAGGTATTATTTTTCGAGATGTAAGGAACACTATTTGCTATGGTTTTGCACGTGTAATTTGTTCCCTGATACAATTAGCAATAGGAAAACATTTGTCATAGTAATGACATTAAAGATTATTTAGACTTTCCGCATTTCTGAAAAAAAAACTTCTAATTCAGGATAATGTCCATTACTCATAAACCACAAGGTAAATTTTATTTAAATTTTGCGTACATGTGACCTTTAAGGAATATAATTGTCCTATGTTGTCAATTTTACAGTTCTTCAGTGTGCCCATTAGGAGTGGCCTACCTAAATAACCATATAAAGATAAACAATGCACAAGTTTTGTTGTTGTTGTTTTTTTTTAATTGTCATTTATTTTCTTATTGACCTTGAAATTAATTGCTATAATTACAGTCTTATTTTTCAGAACAGACAATAGGACTTTTTGTTAATTGTTTTTAGTAAAATAAGTCAATGTCTTTTAGATAAAATTTTGATATCACGGGAAGTAAAAAATCAATACGATTGATATTGCAAATTTACCCATGAAAAATGAGTTAAAATGATGCATTTAAATTCTAAAATAGATTTTAATTCCTCGCTTTAAACAATTGACGGGATTGTTTAGCTACTAAATTTAGGTCTGAACCAAAAACATATGTGCAAATATTTAGAGTATTCCCTTACCACGATAATCATATTTATAGTCCGAATGATTCAAGAACGCTGTTCACACACATCTGGATAAGAATTGACTAACTTTTAATTTTCAGATTAAATCTGAGTATATTTCCTGTTCATTTCCGACCCGATTTCAATGCTCTACTTCAAAAGTTCATATCTTATTTACTTTTATGTATATTTTAACATTGCAAACGCTTAAATAGATTTAAGTATTAAGCATACCAAGTTCTAATGTTTTATTAAACAACTAAATATTTAAAGGAATTTTTCTTTTGAACGGACTGGTTGTTACTTAAAAAATTGTCAACAATAAAAATGAAACTCACAGGATTTAATATTGACATCTATTAAAACAAATTTATTTTACTACAGAAAATTTGTAATTGTAAGGAGGCGAAAGATAGACTTTTACTATCGTACAAGTTGATGCTAGACTTTTATGGAATCAAACTAGAAAACAAAAAAGATGGAACAGTTGTAAGATCAGATAATTGGGAAGAAAGATTTGAAAATCTTAACAGGTGGTATATTTTCGTTTTCAAATTATTATTAACGTATAACCAATAATTTTTAAAATGCGACATATAGACACAGTCGTGTTTATAATATTTAGGATAATTTTGTCACAGTTCTATTAAAAAGTAAAAACAAATTGCTTGCTTTAGGGAAGAGCGTGTTTCTTTATTTTAAAAGTTGATTGGTCTGAAATTGGCAAATTTTCCTGTTCTGTATCTTGGAAACAAAATAGTGATATTGTTCTAACTTATTCAATGAGAAAATTATTATTGTGAATAACAAATTACAATATTACAACACCTAGCGTTATGGTCCACTTCACTTCAATTCGAATAATTATTTTTTTTCCCTTAAATTAAAATATTCAATCAAATGAATAAATATACCTTACAAAGCAGACGGGTTTTCATAACAACCAATGAAAAAGTAGTCGTTAGGCACACGTAAATATTTTTCATGCAAATTTGATGATAATTATAATAATTGATTTATTTTTATTTTCAGATCGAAGCACAATCATAACAGAATAACAAGAATTCTGAAATCTCTGGGTGAACTAGGATTTGAACATTTGAAAAAGAACTTTATTAAGTTTATTTTAGTTGAAATATTAGAGAGGAAAACCCTCGCGAACTTGCAGGAAAGTTGCTGCAATTACTGGATTGCAATTTTGAAAGACCCAAGTGAGAGAGCGGAAATGGAAGTCTTTTACCAACAGCTTACTACAAATCAGTCTAATTCTTTGACATAGTGAAAATGTTTCGTTTAGGACTTCCTTCATTGTTCTTATTAAAATGTAAATAAAATCTAAATATTTGATACTTATTATTTGTATGGTCTTTAAATTTATTCTGATAAACTTACCATTGACAATTTGTTCTAGTACCTAAACTCTTTTTAGAAATGGTAACAAAAATGTGATATCGATTTACGTGTTAATGCACAATATAAAAGTCTTAATGGGTCCAATTAGACCTTTACTTTGAGGGTAGTGACTTGATTGTTATGCTCTGCATATGGTGTCATAATGGTGATCAATTCTGCGAAGTTATCTTTAAAACATTGCAGCGGTTTAAATGTTATAGAGCGGACCCAATATGTCGACTTTTTAAAAACTTGTCCTTCAAGTGTGACCTTGATCTATGGGGTAGCAACCCAATTATTGCGCTCTGCACAATGTCTAATAATGGTGATCACTTGTGCCAAGTTATTAAATAAAACATGTCAGCGGTTTAAAGTTATGGAACGGACAATAAAGTATTACAGACAGACGGGCGTAGGGATGGACGGACTGTCTGACGAAGGCCATTCCTTTAATCCCCTTCCCGCTTTACAGAAGAGGATTCAATTTGATTAATTTGCGTTATTTATTTTGAATAGAAAGTTTGTTTTTTTACAACCCAGTTTATCATACGCGAATTAAAGATTATCAGGTCAATGAAGTAATTTATGGGTAAAGTTATATCTAAGTTCAGTTGTAGAATTTTACATTTATTAATTATTTCATTTCATAGCATTAGCCATATATATTACATTGTTCTTCTTACTTTTTGTAACCCATATGTATTTTTCAACACAAGTCCAATATGCTTAGGTGTATGCAATTTTTATGTTGCACCCAACATAATTGCCGGTGTAAGAGTGTATGGGATTTAATGATTGTATCATTATATAATCTACGTTTGTTAAATATGTTTGAGTCTATAATAAGAAATATATGATCTGACACCTGTTTCAGATATATTATGTCTTGATTTTATCTTATAAATTTGCATAGTTAGTTTATATTGTATGCTTTGTATGTGTTGGAATAACTTACATCTATGTTAAGCATAAGATATTTATGCCATCTTAAAAGCATACCGAGTTATGCATCTTTTTCACATTTTAACTGAATGCGAATTTATCAAATTATTAGTAACATACAGATCCGTATTCAACTTAAGGTATCTGAATTAGGGTAATTGATAATGCATTTTATAAGTATCGAAATCATTTTTCATAATCAAATCAATTCGGTTATGTTCAACATCTGAACATATTGGACCAGCAAGTACATATCTTAAACTTACACTATAGGGTTTTTAATGGGTCCCTCTTGCCTTGGATTCTTCTCCACTTGCAAAAAACAGGAAATTGGATGAACATTAATTGTAACATGCAAAACGTATTGTTTGAAAAAGCTATAAACCTAAAATGTTTGATAAGATTGCGTTAGATATATACATACCATTATTGCTAATATAATCATTCGAAATAAGGAAGAAGGAAGAAGAAAATATTATAGATGTTATATTGGTGTGTGTATCTTTAAAGATTTTACTCGTATACGCACAGATATTGTCCACAAGGAGTGTACTGTTCCATTAACAAGATGCTAGAAAAATTATAAGCCAATGAAAATTGTCCAATCTCAAACAAGTTCTTTTTGGAGAAACTAAACTGCATAAAGAACAATGAAAGTGGTATTATTATAAAAATTATTTTGAAACATGCCATCCTTTGTCTCTGTAAGACTGACACACATGCTTAACTCAAAATGTATATTTCTTATTGGAAAAAGGACCATAAACACAGCAAACTCGTCCATGCCTTATTCCATCAGACAATTTTTAAATCAAAATATTCACTTCGTCAATTTTATTTCTGTGTAATATATGCATGTCATTCAGACAACTTTTGTCAAATCTTATCATATCTCTTGTATTTTCATAAGTCAAGATGTTGTAATTGCTTCATCCAACACAGGAAATCCTAGATTTGACAAGAAAATAGGCTGGTGAATTCGTGTAATGTTTCACTTTAAAATTGTATATTGTGTGTTTGATAATTTAAACATTAGAGTTGTAAAAGAATATCAAGAAAAACATATAAACAAGGATTTAGTGCACTATTAAATTCGGATTCAAAATGAAGGTCTGTGCTACGGAACACATGAATAAAAGTTGTCTCTCAAGATAAAACAAAGACGAAAACACATCGTAGATGAAACGGAAACAAAGCATGCGATCCATGAAGGTTTGAAATGCTAATTCGGTAACAAATGGGTCAAACACTCCATATACCTGAAATGAACAAAATGAACATTCATAGATTTGTATGGTATTTACTTTCTATATTATTTTGTAAAATCTATTAACAAAGGTAAAAGTAAAACGAGTTGATGAAACATTATTTTTTATTTTATTTATTGTTTATTTTATTTATTTATTTATTTATTCATTGTTTCTTACCTTTTACTAGGTAGCAAATATTTGACACTCTTACATAAACTGTCCATATGCCTCCCTCAGGGCGAGCAATCCAGGAATTGCAAGTATGGCCAATGTCAGGGATGTCGTCATACCTTTCAAAGAAATAACACAATGGAAATATTAACTAAGACACTATAAATAATATAGCTGACTAGTTGAATATTGTATACAATTCTAATCACTTTTTGTCAATTCAATGTTAATTTAACATATATTAAGTTTAGCAAATCTTACATCTTCGTTATCTATAAAACTACTAAAACAAACACCACATTTGTGAGACAGATACACGTAATAGAGTGTGTTTGAACAGATATTTGACACAATGCATACGCAAGTTAAAATTCTTTAACACAAATCACCTTTTTATTCAACTGTTGAAATGAATTATTCACAACTGATTAAGGTAATTCAAAACTTATGATAATTCCTTAAACCTGATATTTCAAAGAGAGCGCAAACTGTCTGGTCATTGATTTTTAAATCATTTATATCTCATTCACAAAATGTTACAATAAATCTACATTTAAAAACATTTTATAGTATAAATGAACTTATTTCAGTAAGTGTATAGTAAGAACCCATATGCAATTTTGTTTGTTTGCTTGAATGGGTTTTACGTCACACAGTATAGGTCATATGGCGAAGTTCCAGCAAAGACCTCAGGTCACCTTCCGTGTATTATTTCAGGCACAAACGGAACCTAAGTAGACCTACCGACGTTTCGTAAGCTAACTGGACAGCTTCCTCACAGAATCCAAAGTCCCTGTCGGAATTTGAATTATCAGCGGTGAAGGGCAAGTGGTTTGTAGTCAACGACCTTAACCACTTGTCATTGCCGCCCCTCCACCCCATATAAATAAGTAAACATGGACTACATGTATCAAATTAAAACAAAAATATTTAGCACTGGATTTGGTATTTGTAACACAATTGTTGTACACTTTTACTTTAGTTTATAGAGAATAGACCCTAGGACAGAGTTTTTGAAATATTAAGTTGTTCCTTCATATTTATTATCACTCGTAAATATACCTTTAAATTAGTTTGGTAAATCTATATCTGTACATTATAATTTCTTCGGAGCCATGTAATACTTGTATCTTCATGATTATTATTGTTTATGCGGACAGACGCAACATAAGAAAACCTATTTCAAATGGAAAGAATGGCAACTTTTTAAAGGGCCCCGTACATAGCTTGTATCTTTATATGAATCACGAAATAGACAACAAGTTGAAATACCTCCATTTTCTGCCACACAAGTGTCAACGTTCATCTTGAAACCAGAACTACATCGGCATGTTTTTGTCTTTTCGTCACATTCAGCATTAGCGCCGCACTCCGTACCTTTTGGTGGCGTGCATTGTTTGCTGTCTAAGGCTTAAACATAGTTAAACTGTTTTATTATAATGAAATTTAAAATTATAAAATTGGTGATGCTCTCAAATGCAAATAATTCAGTCATGTAAAACAAAATGATTCATATTTAATCCTAAAAACATTTAGAATATGTTCACCTTTGTTAATGTACAAGTTATAAGTTACTGAAAACCTCATAATACTAGGCTGCATAAACTGATTTCAGTTCAAATGTTTCCTGCCCTATTCTTTTACTTTTAATCACTTGATGTTTCAATTTGTGTAATTTTGCAATTCTTTGCATAATAGCATAAATTATGCAACATATATGAATTAAGATATTAAAAATTCGTATATTAGTGTTATCAAAGCGTAATGTTTTATAAATAGAACTACATCACGTATTTTATTCCTACATCTTGACATTAAACTCATCAAAGCTTACTTGTATTGTTTATAAATTAAAATTTTCTTATTACTTGCAATACACACGTTGTCTTTTTCTCCAAAGTGTTCAGCACATTCGCATAAAGTGTTCTTGCACACTGAATGAGTGTCACCATCACATGCAGCGCTTCCCGTACAGTGTCCTCCGATGACTACATGTAAATATTTAGAAAAATAGTTAGTAGTATCGACAGTGAATGCCAAGTACTTTTTCTAGCCCCTAATTTAAGTTGCTGTTTTATTTTGTTCATTAATAAATAACGTAATCTGGTGATTATCTAATTTTTACTAAGGTTAATATCGGCATCATAAGTTAATCTCTTGAAAATACAATGCATTATTTAATCTGGATACCATCTATTATTCTTGTTTGCAACATCAACAACCAGCAGGTATAAAACTGTATGATAAACACACTCCAATACCAACTTTTGTAAAAGATATGTGTTATAATTACATCCAGGCTTTACCAATATGCTTCAGTAAGTTGTATGTATGCCGTCACGTAAAACATAGTCAATACTAACACGCTGTGTTCCCCTACGGTGACAACGTAAGTTTAGTGTAATAGTTATGCTGGTCAATAATGTGGAAATCAAAAATCTAAAGGCCAGATCGGTAACAATTGCTTCATGAGCCATAACAAGATTTAGTCAAGTAAGGTAAGCTACATATTATAAAATCTTGAAATATGACAATAATTGTTTAAATTACTTTTCAAACATCTGTCAGCATTGTTATTGTACCCTGATTTACAAGCGCATTTCGATAATGTACAAACGGAATTTTCTAGCGGGCAATCTGTCGATACCGTTGCATCTGTGCATTGTTTGCCAATCACTAAAACGTAGACAGAATAAAAAATAATAAAAATTTAACATAGTTTCACCACCAAGCACTAAAATATAGGTCTTTAAGTTTTTATTTAATATTTTGGTTATAGGGAGTATATCTACAGCTGTAGCGAAATGGGCATAAGGAAATCCGGACAGATCGAAAACCGTTGTTTGAATACCATTTTGTGTTACTACAGTATATACACCATGTGGTTAAAAATGCAGTCAATTTGACAGTGCTAGAGTGATATTAAAATAGAATAAAGAATTCTCAAATGTGCATGGTCAACTTCTTGTTAGAACCAAAAGCAATAAGGTAAATTAATAGTTTTTTTTGTCTTAACTTAACGTCTTAGGAAATCTCAAGACGAGAAAAAAAAGAAACATGACTATTTAAGCAGCCTAAAATATTTTTTTCTGGGAAAATGTGAATAAACATTTGAACATGTAAAAGTTATGAATAATTCACCACTGTATTAAATGTTTTCGTAATTAAACGCGCAAATAGAATGAATGTAAATTAGAAATGTAATTACATGTACAAGTAAAGTAATGAATTGCCCCTTTGATTCAAAACATATCATTACCTTTTTCAATACAAGCCCCAGCGTTTGGTTTGTATCCTGTATCACATTGACATTTTGTATTAGCGCATGTTAAATGATCCGTGCTTAAACAATCTGCGGCATCTTTACAAGTATCATTAACCGCTGAAATGTTACACAAATAAAATCTTGTTCAAAATCAAACGTTATTTAAACATTTCCTATCAAACAATTATGAATTGTTATAAGTACACGATGAAATATGTGCTTAGTGAAATAAATGGTCCTCAAACAACTGAATATCCTTTAAT